TTATTATGTGCAGTGCAGTGGCGTTGTGAAACTGAGGGAAACTAGTGTGTAAGAAAGACATTACACCTCGGTGTTTCGCAGTACGGTGAAGTGAAGTGTGGTGAAGTGGAGTGCTATGAAAGATTGCACGGAGAAATGTTCTCGTTAATTTGTAAAGTTTGCATATTTTGTAAAGTTGTTAAGTTCTGTAATGTTAAGTTAGTGTATTCTGCCACCAAGTTTTCAAACCTAATAGCAGAATTATTATTAATAAATCTAAGACTTGCAGTGGGAAGGCGTAGAGCAGGGAAGGTATGGTACGGAGAAGACTTGGAGCTGGGAAGACGGATTGGGTAAGGCGTGAAGCGGGCAAGGTGGAGTGAAGCGTGGAAATCGTAGAACGGAGAATGCGCAGAGCGGGAAAAACGTAGAGTGGAAAATGCATAGAAATGGGAATGCATGGAGTAATGAAGGCTTGAAGAGAGGAAGGCGTAGAGCGGGAATGACATAGAGCGGGAGAGTCATAGGGCGGGGGAGGCATAGAGCGGGGGAGGAGTAGAGCAGAAAAGGCGTAGAGCGGGGGAAGACGTAGAGTGGGAGAATTGTAGAGCAATGAAGACTTGCAGTAGGGAAGATGTGGAGTGATGGAGTCTTAGAGCGAGGAAGACATAGAAAGCGGAAGACATGGTGCGGGGATTGCATAGATCGGGGAAGACATGGAGAAGGGAAGGCTTGCAGCGGGTTGCACGGGTTGACGTGGAGACATAAAGGAATGAAGCGAGGGAGGAGTAGTGCGGCGGAGGGGAGAGTGGAAGACCTGGAACCGGGGAGTCATGCAGCGGGGATGGCACAGTGCAAGCGTGAGGACGTGTCTGGCGATTAAAAGCGGCGGCGGCTGCGGAGGCGGTGGCGGTGGCGACTGCGGCAACCGGGACGGCGGAGCGGCGGGGCACTGCCCGCGGGCAGCGCTGCTCTGCTCTGCTAACAAATTCAATTAATTACGAGTATATTCGTTCAATTCCGACGCTCTTCGACGCGTGGCGGTGGAGGTTCCGCTG